AAATGTATTAGCATCTACTATAAATTCCATATGTATTGACCATTTCATCGAAGAATTCAAGATAGATTTTTAATATAAAATTTCGATGCTTTATGAAATTGAATTCAGAAAAATAAAGACGAATATGATATTTCTAGAGAAATTTTATTGACAGTTTTTAATGTTTATGCAATGCCCGATTACAATATGGCATTACGAGAAAACCGAAATTTTCAGACTATCCCCACTCCGGCTATGAAGAAAAAGGGAAAAAAGAGGAAAATGATAATATTGTTCAAATAATAGCATTTTAAATTAATTTCAAACAAAATTAAATTAATATTCGATTTCAAATGTTTTTAAAGTTCTGCACAAAAATGCATAAAACTCGAATTATTACATTATAATGGTAAAAAACGACAAAAAATCTATTCAGAAGAAATATTTTCTTATTTGTCTCAGAGTTTTAAATGCATATAAAGCTTTAGAATTCTTAACAATATTTTCCATTTCACATAATCAATCTTTCAAAACCAAATCAAACCAAATCAGTCACTTCTGCTTTCTCCGTCTCCTCCGCCTTTCTTCTTGGTCGCTCATCATTTGCACGGGAGGCGCGGCGGCAGTAATTGGCAGGCGGGCGACACAGGAAGCACATTAGGCGCAGGTGAGCGGGGGGCGGCGGGCGGGACGGGGCAGGAAGCGGGGCTACGCGGGGCGCGACGCCAATACGAATCCCCTGCGCGGCGCGAGACGAACCGAGCCGCGAGGGCGGAGCGAGGGCATCAGCTGGCTGAGCACGCACCGCCGCCTGTCACGCGCCCGGGGCGGCAGTCGCTGCGGGCGGCGTGGCCGCGGGCACTTCTCCGCTCTGCCTCGCCCTTTGCATCTGCCTCCTCCGCCCCGCCCCACCACGCCACCGCCTCCTCGCCACCGCCTCCTCGCCACCACCGCCCCGCCTCCGCCCCGCAGACCCCGCCCCACCCCACCCCAGCTCCCTCAATTGACATGCGGGGCAGGTGCGCGAGGAGGATGTGGGAAACAGGGTCGCTGCGATGGGAAATCTGCGGTCGCTCTTAAGGAACTTCGTAACGTCGCCGTATTGTTCTGACGGCTCGCGACATTTGGTTGACTGGTTTCGTAGGCACAATTCTACTCGCAGATACGAATTTATGATGTTTTATGAAACAAAGTTCTGAAAGGAATATCATGACTACACGTTCCCTCTCAATGCAGAATGGTGTTTCTGGCAATGAGCCAACCTAAATATTGTGCCGTACCCTCGGCTAAACGCAGTTGCCTCTACATCGAAAGTGTTTTCCTTTCTCGCAACAAAAAAATCGTTTCTATCAAAAGCAAAAATAAGTATAATTGCATTATTCCACAGTTTTCATATTATATCTTCATTTTACGAGAAAACCAAATTGGTTTCTCTTTTTATAAGTCACAATTTACTTAAACGTCATTTGTAAACGCGCAAATCGCTTTTCATTCTAAGACCAACTTTTGAACTGGTAACGCGTTTAGTTTTCGAGAGACTTCCATGTGCAAATATGGCGGCGCGCCCTTCCGCCTCCCGGTTAGGTGCGTGGAGTTGAATGGCGCGGAGCGGCGAGGCAGGAGCGGCGGCTTTAGCATGCAGGTCGCTCCCTGCTGCCGCCCCCCTCCGACCCCTCCACCCACGCCTGCTCCAACGGAAGAAATACTCGAGCGCCCTCCGATATATCATCGACTGCGGCACAACGCCCGGCGACCCTTCCAAAGACTCTCTCTCTTCGACCACGCCCCTTAGACTATATTGTTTCACGGTTCGCAAAATAGCCGATATCCGCAGTATATCCGCATGTAGCTATAGTTTCTGCGAATCAAACTATTCCGAACCCTATCCCCTGCGTCCGTTGGATAAGCCTTTTATATATTACTATTATATTGTTTTCGGGATACGAAGTGCGTGTACTGTCTAAAGAAATAGGTTATTATTTCTAAAAAAATATAGGTCTTATTGAGGAGGAGAGTTTGAAAAGATTTTTATGTATCATCGATACATTTTTTCAACCTAGAAACGAGATGAGAACCGAGGAGAATCGTTACTTCGAAAAGGAATGAAACGGGTGTGCAGCTATCGTTTCAGAAATTGCAAGCATTGATTCGATTCACTTACATGCACCCGCTGTTTCAATCTTTTTTTACTTTGCGAATGTCAATTATATACTGTTGGATATTTTTTTAATTAAAATGCTTTTTCTGACTAGCTGCATATGTGAGTGAAGTGATAAAGAAATAAAAATGATTTTAATTGGTGCATGTCACATCTTGTGACGTGTTCTCTGCCAGTTGAAATGTTCTGCTCATTTTTACTTCATGTACTCTTTTGTCTCTGTCCCGGGGATAGCAATGAATTTCGACCCGAGCAAAGCTGAGCGAGTCCATTAGAAGCAGAAAACGGGGCTCACAAAATTGGCTGTTTCGCGGATTGAGGAGTGTAGGAATAAAACTAGCTCTGTTCAACGAAAGGATATTACTTACCATCTTCATGGTCCGGAACGAGCAGAAGGGAATTGCACTGAAAGTAAGTTACAACTCGACGTTTCACGTGCAGATCTGTTCCTGCCGTGCTGCGAGTAAAATTAGCATTAAAGTACGTCTGGACAAGCCTTATTTTGCCAGGGAACGATCAAATGAGTAAAATGGAACGATTCACGTAAAAGAAAAGTGCTCGGTTCCATATTGCGTTGTGTTTAATTTAGAAGACTTGTATTTTATTCTAAATGAAATTTCTGAAAACAAGACCGCGTTTGCACAATGAAATAGTTGGCAGAGTTGGGGGTCCAGGTGACGCAGAACAGAGATTTTTCACTTCTGTATTTTCGGCTTTGGGAGACTTGGTTCACATACACATTTGAAAAACGTGATCAACCCAGTCATTTAGCCAGCATACTTTTATCTAACTAATGCCAGGTTATGCATCCCACATGTTAACTGAGCTTAGAGAACAAAATGAATAAAGCATTGTTCTGTACTCCGCCGGAGAAGTCGAGGAAATGCATGTATGGTCGTAGAGCTCAAATGTTCCCTGTACAGGCAACAATTTTGGTACGCTAGAGCCGTCGCCGAAAGAGCCACAGAGAACGACCTGTTTTTCCGTCTCCTTTCCTCGCTTCAATTAGAGCTCATGAAATGATTACACTTCGTTCACACGGCCACTTGACATCGTTTGACAGAATTCTACCGTCTAATTTGCTCATAATGGAGTGTGTTTGTAGTTCGCACGCGGTGTGTGAGCGCGGGGGTTGGTCCGGGGGGGTTGGGGTAGGGTGGGGTTGGAGTGGCGGGAAGGGGCTGGAGGGCGGCCAAATCCGCGGCCCGTGTCCCCGCGCCGATGACAAGCGCTTCTTCCGGCCTGTTTGCACCGTCGCGTCGCCTCCCCCTTCGGCGCCGGCGGGTGTACATGGCACCTACCCATTCATGAGGGGCCAAACACGAAGTTCCCTGTGCAAGAACACAGAGACGCGCGGCAAGACCTCTTCTGACAAGCAAAGCGTTAAACGCCGCCGACGAGCTCGCTCACTTCTACAGCTCAGGATTTTTTTTCTTTCATAGGGCTGCTTTGCGCATGAAATGTCAGTCCAGTTAAGAAAAGTGTATTGATCCAGTAAGCTCCTTAACATTATACTTTTTTCTATATATTCCGCATATTCGTTGTTATATTAAAAATCAACACAATGAATTACTAGTAGCAAACACTCGAGCTAGTTGAGCCGCTTAATCAGACATTTCTAGAAATGTTTCATCCCCTTTACTTCCATCGTTTCTGCTTTCCACACGTATGCATTGGTGCGCCAATTGTCGATGAGTTCGACGGCCTTGCAGAATCCATCATGATTAACTGGACAACATGCGCTTACATACAAAGCCGACATTTGTCACGTGTTACGCCGTATACAAACGGTTTCATTAGTTGGACTTGTTTACTGGACGTATCCCGAAATGCTACTCCTTCATTATTTCCCGTACGTTCCTCTGGCGCCGCTTGTGATGATGCGCGAACTGACTGCGAGAGAAAACAGGAGGGGGAGGCGCTTCACAATGAATCATGATCAACCTGCGCTCGAAACCTATGTTAGAATTATAATGCCGACCGATGTATCTCGTGGTATATCGAATCCCTTTCATTGATTGAAACTAGTTTACAGTGCGTGACCAGGAAAGCTGCTTCTTCATATTTCTCGCAAATCCTCCTTCGCCATCTCCCGTTGTGGCGAGGGCGGGCTAACTGAGAATAGTGTATTTTGTATGGTCACCGCCTGAGCTAGCTCAGGCCAACTGTTGGGGCTCACTGGGAGGTCCTATGGTTCGACGGTGGAGGATTTTCGGCCTCAGCTAGATAACGAAATCAAATTCAGTCGCAGTTCGGAGAAGAATTCTAGTGGACAGCTGCTCTGATCGGTAGTTCACAAGTTCTCTTGTAAACGCCACGCACCGTGTAATAACTTTTCTTCCTCAACTTTGTCCTTTCATGTACCCTTACGTTTACATGCACTACACATGTACTAGAAATATCAGGTAACCAGTCAGGAATTCAATCTTGTCCTGGCTCGGGGTGATGTACTATTGGCGGAGATACCTGAAGAGGGAAACCCTACAAGTCGAAGTGTAAGCCGGCTTCGTATCTCACGTTCTAGCAAGGAAGTATACACCGCCATCCTGCGATATAACAAGCAGGATACTAACGATAATAATTTCCGTAGTACTTGACGCGCCGGGAAATACAAAATAATCAATCAGTTTGGGTGAGCAGGCAGAAAGTGGAGGTACTTTACAATTAGTCATGGTCAACCTGCTACGTACGTTGAAAATCTATATTCAAATAGAAATGTCAACTGATGTATCATATGGTATCCCATCCTAACATTTTCATTGATTGAACTAGTTTACTGCGCATATCCAGGAATGCTGCTTCTTGATTATTTCCTGTACTTTACCCCGCTCTGAGTGACACGCTGTGTCTTCTGCGTCCGCAGGCAAGAGGTGGAGGAGCTGCGCGGCACGACGCGCGCGCGCAACGACCACGTGACGCTGCAGTGGCTGTCGGCGGCGGTGGGCGAGCTGCGCGCCGAGGCGGCCGAGGCGGCGGCGGCGCGCAACGCGTCGCGCGACCTGCAGCGCGCGCAGCAGACGGACGCGCAGCTGCGCCTGCTGCGCTCCGACGTGGCGGCGCTGCGCGGCGAGGCGCAGCAGCTGCGCGCGCAGGCGCAGCGCGACGCCGTCGCCCTGCAGGCGCTGCGCGGCGACCTCGACTCGACGCAGCAGCGCGCGCAGGCGGCCGCGGAGCAGTGCGCCGACAACAAGGAACAGGTGAGTTCCACCCACGCACCTTTCAGCTCAAATGAAGGCTTCCGGTGTGAAACGTGGTATCCCACGTGGGAATATTTGGGAGATAGAAGCAAGCGAAAGTTTTGCTGTAATAGGTTTAAATGGGGCTAATAAAAATGACAGAGACGGCCCCGATAGCCGAGGTCGCTGACGTTGAAGAGCCGTAGCTGCCTCGTGCCTCATTAAAAAGAAATATCCTGAAAGAAGTTTACCTTTCGGATAAAAAACAATATATATTTCTATTTTATGGAATGGGGAAAAAAGAAGAGGAAGATGTAATGCAAACCTGTTGCAATATACATGTTGTTTGAAGTTTGGTATATTTTTTTTTTTTGTTTTATTTGGTATCAAATTATTTTATGGAATAATCAAAATCTAACCTACAGACAGTATTAACAGTACTCAGTTCCAGAATATAATACTAGTAAATCTGTATTATACACTTCTAAACTGACTATTAAATTCACAATTCAGCACAATACTGTACTGTACAAAATAAGCTCTAAAAATTTTTCAGATTTTATTTTGTTTCTTTGAGGCGAGAGCAATATCGAGAGAGGTCCTTGAGTAACTATCATATGTAACGCGAGGCAGTCAAATAGAAGCGGAAATCAGTTAAAGGGTGGCCGATTAAGATGGAGTCTAATTGTTTTATGTCTACCATATGAATATTTCCAACAACAAATAAAGAATACGCTAACAAGAACATTACATCCCTTTCTTCATCTTGTCACATCATAAGAGCCATGGTACCGCCAGAGTACGCATAAAAGGATGTTGGCGGTGAAGTACGCGATATTTGGCTGTTCTGGCACGTCATGAAATGGTGAATGACGATTTGGATGGCTATGACGATTACGTATACGACGATTTACCTTTGTCTTTTACCATACAATCACTCGGTGTCGTCAACAACTGGGCTGTACATAGGATTCGAACGCGCATTCCTAGTGAAGAATGCTGCATCACCTAAACAGCCTTCATTATTCAGATGGAGACTTTCTTTTTGTATTGATTAATTTACATATTTTGTTTATTTTTAACGTATCCGAGTTTTTTTCTGAAAATTAAAAAAAAATCTGTAAAATTACGGTTCAATATTATAATGACGAGGGGTAATAAGGGAGTTACCATGAACAGTCAGTAAATGGCCTCATTGTACATTTTCATGCCGATAAAGTTTCGTATTTCATTAAAACTTTTATAAAGCACAAATATGAGCGTACAAAAGAGAACAGTGGAAACGAAAATAGAGGTATAAAGGTATTGCTTATTTAGATGTCATAATTTCCAAAGCACAGCCGTCAGAAATAGAGAAATATCAAAGAATTTCCAGGAATGCAAAAACAAAGCCGATTTACTTTGCAGGAAGTCTTTGTCTGAACGTGAGAAGAACGAAGTGAGAGCTTCACTGGGAGGTAGAGGGCGAATGAACACGTGGAGATGCGCGCATGTTTTATGCAGACGGGAGAAGTGCTGCGTGGCGCCAGGCCCCTTGAGGACGGGTTCAGGAGGATTGACGCCAGAGGGGGTGGCGGTGCCGGCGGCGCGAGACAGGGCGAATCGCAGAAGGCTTTGCCGACGTCAAAGTCGCCTGCGCACCTTGATGCGAGTCGAGAAGCTCCCCTCAGCACGAATACAGCGAATTTGCTCATGTATTACAATGCTGAGTCTTCACGATAATATGTCTTCACTGGATTTAGACGGGGCTACTATACAAGCGTTTTGCTGTATGATTGAGTTTTATATTACTTTTTATGGTTTAATCAAAGAATGAGGCTAAGCTTTTTTAAGTATTCTAAGAGATAAAACCTGTAGCAAAGAAATATTTTTTTTTGTGAAATGTACAATATACTACTTGTTACTATTCGAAAGAATCAACTCGGCTGATTTTCTGAAGAGGGTGTATCGACAACTTGATTATTCGGACCATAAAGCAGGTGTACGCCGGGTGCAAAAAACGAAAAATATAATTATTTCCATCAGTTATTCAATTATGATATAATTTGTCCCTGACTGGTCCGTAAATAAGGGATTTTTAAACTTCATTAATTGTTATTTCACGAAAGAACCAATCAATAAGAATGGACGCCGAAACAAACACGCGAGTGTAGGACCCGAGTGAGTGGTACATTTGGTAGCTAAATAACATAGTATTTCACTCCAGCCGTATTTCACGTTGTAACTGCGAAGGCCGGAGCATAACGCACAAGTGATGTGGTTGTAAAGAATAATCCCGTCGCTATACGAGCTCTGAAAATCCGACAACATGTCGAGACTTCATTTCCATTTCCAATTTTGCAGTGATTTCTGCAGCGATGTTGCCGAAAGGGAAGTAAATAACTACACACAACAAAATACGAATAATGTTGTTTCGAAAGAGGGTTTTTCGCTGCGCCAACAAATCATTATCCAGATATACGGGCGGGCAGTAACTTCTAATTTTAAAATTTAATTACTGGAAATTGGACAAGGGAAAAAGGGAAAAAAGCAACAACGCGTTGCTCCGGCGTGCGAGCTAGCGCTGGGAGGAGTGGGACGCAAGAGGAGAGTTGGTTGGGTGATTTGAATGTGGTAAGCGACATAGCGAGAAGAAAGATGGATCAGAGAGTAAGCAGAATGAGAAGAAGTTGATGAGGACGAGACGGTTGGTAGATGAGTTGATTTGATTAGTAAGCAAGCGAATGTTATGCAAAAGGGACGAAGAAGCGAGAGGATGTAAAGTAGGTGTAAGAATGAGTAGAAGAATGGGCGGGCGACAAGGCCTTGAATGGAAGCAGGAGCTGGGAAATGGATGAGAGGATGTGTCGGCGGGAGGGTGGGAGCACGGGTGGGTGGGCAATATATGGGCGGTGCGTGCAGGTGCCTCGACGCGCGCTGCCGGGAGGCTTAGCAAGGGGGCGGGGGAGGAGGGCCGTGAGCGATGGAAGTCTAGATAGGGAGGAGGCCGAGGAAACTACGAATGAACAGGAGGCCGAGAACGCAGGTGAGAAGGGGAGGCCGAGACGGAGAGCGCGGTCGCGCAAACTTTCTCGCGTGCGTGGCGGTGACGGGGGCGAGACGCTCGCGCCGCGAGGGGTGGGGGAGAGGAGGGGAGCGATGTCGGTGGGACGGGCGATGCGGGCGGTGCGGGCAGCGCGACACGGTTCGCCACTCGGCGCTGCATCCAACATTCAGCAGCGGCAGCGGTGGCGGCGCGGGAGGCAGGCGAAGGCAGGCGCCGCGGGGCCGCCCATCACGCACTCCGCCCCGCCACCGGCCCGCCCCCGCGCCTTACCACCTGGGCTCCCTGGGCGCCTCGCTTTCAGAACACAAAGCCAACTCACGCACCGTCTCAAGCTACGGCCAGCTGCGCGTAAGGATACCTACAATATCGACAAATCAGGAACTAATTAGCTATGCAAGATTACCGACTTACAAATCATTGCCACGTTTACGAATTCATTCCTGCACCCTATCTCGGTTATCACCCAACAATTCACGAAATGGCCAGCTAAATAATACTTACAATCTCAAAAAATCAGCGACTAATTATTCAAGCAAGATTATCTTCTCAAATGATTCACGTGCTCACAAATTCATTCATCCTTGCTGCGTTATCGCCCTGCAATTCTCTGTAGCCCATCTTAAGAAACTTTACCATTTCAACAAATCAGAAACTAATTATTCTTGCTAGGTTATTGCACTGAAAATCATTAAAATTCCCTGTTAATAAATTTAACTCTGTAAAACCGTATTATGATAAACGTTTCGTACGGAAATTTACTGATAATTTAGACCTCAAGTCCCTCATCCACTCACACTTTGCCGTCTCCTGCATGTGAACCCGCGACCTTTACCTCGCACGAAGGCCCGCGAGAACGCATCATCTTGCACTGCGAGCTGCTGTGCGAGATGGGAGCACAGCGGAGCAATTTGCATCAATTTGCACAACCTTTCGCCTTGCGTCGTCGACTGTAGTGGAGCATTCAACACTGATGAGTAAGCTGGCAGCAACACGTGCAACAAGATATGAAAATGCTAAGACGATCTTGAAGACACTCATACGAATAACAGGAATAATCTGAGAGAAGCGGAAAGATGAATGGTAGTAGATTATGGAGAGATGAATGGCTGTGGCAAAAAGCTGACAGATGTCAAGAAATATTAATAATCTTCAACAGGTATTTAAAATGTGGTGCATAAAACTACCATCTACGATATGTAAAAGAATCTCCAGACTAAACGATGCCTCGAGCTGAATTTTAATATCACATTCACCGCTCTAATAATGTGTCCATTCCTACGACATAAAATAATGGCGAGAGGCCTGTTTCTTATCCCGTAGTAATTAATACTAGACCACAAATCACTGAAAACTCAACACACTGTAAATCAGCAACAACGGCCAATCGCAGCGTCCCAATAATTAGTTGCCAAGAGAATTAAATTACAATTGAGAGTGTCCTTTCAACTGATTGTGTCTACAAAAATACGTTTTGTTAGCGGGCCACAGGCCTGCTCGCGGCAGATCTAGTACACATGGGCAGACGCACAGCTAAGCCGTCTTCCGACCGAAGTGGGAACGACGCGTCTGGTCGGCGACAGCCAGTGATCGACGCCGTGCTCCACCGGGGCTGCCAGTATGCGCGATGAGCACGCGCCACCCCACGGCGGCGGGGCGGGGGCGGCGGCGGCGGCGGCGGCGCCACTGGCGGCGTTGGCGAGTTCTGTCACGTGGCCCCCCGGCCCCCCCTCATCCCCCCGCCCGAAGAAATTTAATTAGTCCGGCGCCCGCGGCGCGCCCAAGCGGGGTCGCCCCAATTAGACGCGCGTGTCTCCGTCACCCGTTGCACCCAGCTCGCCCGGGCGCACCCCGGCTCACCCGCCGCTCCGCGCAGTGGGCCGTCAGCGCGCGTCACGCATTGCGAGGAATTGCGAAAAAAGCATTTCAACCACCAGAAAGTGTGACAGCAAATCGTCGCTTTTCTGGAATTCTGTTGAAACTAATAAATCAAAAATTGGGATTTTAAGGTAAATTAGTTTAAAAAACTATTTTTATGGGGAATACGTATTATCTCAGAAATGATACTACTTACCAGTGGGTCGCAGATGCATCGCTATTTCATAGACCAAAGTTTCGCCATCTATTTTCATGAAATAATATTGTCCATAAATTTGAAGTTTCATTAAGTATATTTTCATAAATTAGAAAACCAAGTGACACGCTCGTACATAATTGTTCAATATAACTTGAAAGGTGGTGTTACTTATCGTTGATTAATGGGAAGCAAATTAAGTTACAGAGAAATGAAACTGCGTACTCCTGTACAAGACCAATTTTTCTGTTACAAGGAAAAAGAAGAATATACCAGAGAGAAGAAAGAAGAGATATACCAGAGATTGACAATAATTCCCCTCTTCAGACATAATCAAGTACATTGCAAAAGGTTTAGTTTATTTTCATTGCGTCCTCTTTTATGAAAATTTACCAAGAAATTTAATGTTTCTCTTACCTATTTATCGCCGGCATTATGTAATATTTCCAGTCACAAATGGCTATAATTCAATCCGACATTTTCACTTCCAACCGGCAAATCAAATTATTTCCGCGCTACCTATCTCCCTAAAATTGTACTTAAAAATATCAACAACAAAAATGTATTAATTTTGAAGCATTTATCAAATTATTATATCTCCTAATATATTAACGTTTTTAAACCCTCGAGAGCTACTAAGGGAAAAGGCAAGTATAGGATACGGAAATTACGGAAACTGAATAGACAAATATCTTCTGGACAGCTCTTCTTCTCTTAACGTTACGTACAGCTTTAACTGTTGGCAAGATGGCACTCGATCTCAGGTCTCTCCGAAGTGTGTGTTCCCCGGTGTGTGCAGGCGTTTGGGCCCAGTGCGCGCGCCGTTCAAATAAGGAGCAGCGCCGTTCGCTCGCGGGCGCCCCGCGGCTGACAAACGATGGAAGTGGCTCTGACGGCGCCAGTCGCCGATCGCCGAGATGAATGAAGGGCGCCGCCGCCGCTCCGCAATCTATTTCACGTTGGCGGACGCCATTTTTCTCCTGCCCAGGCCGGGGCTTGGCTCCGCGATCGGCTCCGCACCCCACTTTCTCCGCCCTCCGCTCCCTTCCCCCTGCAGCTCCCGGGAGAAATATTGTGATACACCATCTGATCCAATATCTGGGATCACTTCTAACGATAATAAATAATGATACTAATACAAAATCCGATTACAGATACGAATAATTTGATTTACGAGTATAATATTTTTATTTTTTTCAAATAATTAAAACTACAGAATGATAAAAAATAATTATAATACTATTTTCCGTTTCAGGACTTTCTAACAAAATGGAATTAAAGTGTTGATGCAAATCAGTAATTTTAATGAAAAGAAACAATTGAATCTCTACTTACATTATTAAATTGAGTCTCACAAAGTATGACAACATGTATGAGGTTCTTCACGTATCATGAATATCAGGCAGTACTTTCTACGAATTAAACAAAAATTAAAAACGAATTAAATGTTTATTTAATACAAATTCATTGAAGTGAACATAAAATAACTCATAATATATATTTCAATTGAGCCAACGATATATGAATATAGATTCTCCAATACTTTTTACGTCGCGATACTTCGCAAGTACCTGCATTCATACAGCCAGTATTAAAGAAACAAAT